ATATATATATATATATATATATATATATATATATATATATATATATATATATATATATATATATATATATATATATATTAAAGGATGTAACATATTTTAAGTGGTTAACTTATCCACGTACGTTTGATAGAATAGGCACCCAAAAGCTTTAAAAAGGTTTGAACCTCAAAAATATTTAGTAGAAACACTTGCTCAATTGTCAGTATAGAATACATCGGCAGTCTCTCAAACTTGCCTGCATATTCATTTAGGCGCTTAAAAAAACTCAGATTCTGAAATAATAACAGTCAGTAGATTGAAGTATTATTAATTTATCTTTTATTTTAGAAATAATTGTGTGTAAGGAAGCGTAGCGGTAGTGGGGCTAATGTTTAGCTTATGATTTTGGATTGTTGGAGTAACGCAGTTATTGACGTATATTGTCACCATCTTTCACTTGGTCTAGGTTTTTTGCTGGTCTTTTGTCTTTCTCTATTTCTCATTTATTCCTTTTTCTTTTAAGGAATGCTTTTAAATGAATTAAATTTGTTTCTTTTTTTATGTCATTGATTTCAATTGTGGCAAGCTGTTAATTAGTTTTCCTTATAGGTGCACTTATTTCACATAGTAATCGAATTAGATTTCACAAATTTTAGAGTCAAACTACATTAATTTTGATCTTGTTTAACCCAAAAGATAGTGTTTGAAGTCAAAGTAAATAAATAGAATAATTCGAATTTCTAACAATCAATTTACTTTACTTTTGCAAATATAATTGGTATAATATTAATAATAATAATAATAATAATAATAATAATAAAGCAGTAGAAATCTTATTGATTATTGTCGCTTTCTCCGATAAGAAAGAATAATTCTTCTAATAATAGAGAACAATAAGAATTTTGGTAATTGACGATATAATTTAGCTTAATTTTCAATGGAATACAAGATATGGGAAGGAGAGAGGGGGCTTAAACAGTACTATTTCTTGTAATCGTTTGCCTTGTTTAGCTCCTACCAGTTACTACTACTTACTGCATTAATTGATCGTTACGTGAGTGATTCGTAACGGTTGAGGCAATAATAGCAAATTACGTGTAATCAAAAATTTGACTGATTCTTCCATATTCATAATCATTAATGAACTTTCCTATGCGTGGCTACTACTGATGTTAATTATCAAACCCGTAACTATTTTTTTATATTCAACCTTGAGACCTACAGGTGCAATATCTGCACAAGCGATCTCGTGGGTGTTGCTCATAACCCCTGTACCCGTCATTATTCTTGTCATTTTAACTCCATGACACTTGCCATTGTAGTATTAGTCCACGTTGCATGTTTCTTTTTCACTAATACAGATAGTCCCTCCCCCCCCCCCCCCAAACATTTCGAATGTTTTCAAATGAATATGCGGGAAGTGAAGAGTTTATTTGTGGCGGGAATATTTGCTGCCTCTTCCCGAGATTATTATGACGTGCAAAGTGAAGAGACGTGCACTCTATCCATTTAACGCTCAAAATACGCATCTGATCGTTATTGGCTCTAACGTTTACAGCGTTTTCCCAGGCACAGACGGCGTTGTCAAATTTGGGATGATAGTTCCATAATGACGATCTATGATGACATATCATCTTCTTATAGATATGAAACTTTACATCTTTAAAACTCTCCTTCTTCTCTTGTCTTCTTCTGCAATTCCCTTGTATATTTCTTTACTCTTGCTCTCTTTTCTGTCTCCAATGTCTTCCAAATCTTCAACTCCTACTGCTTCTTCTCTTCGTCGTGCTATTATAATCAATGATATTCCGTCGACTCTAGCTCCAGTGAGAAATAGAAGGAGGGGTGGTAGGCTTTGTACCCTAGGCTCTATGGAGAATAGAAATACTTCTTCTTCGAAAGGAAGTTTTTCAAAATTTGCCTCATCTTCTAAAACCGGAGTGTCTG